CAATACATGATTTGTTTCTCCTGAATCCAGCCTGTTCCGGACGAAGTTTTTCATCTAGGGCTTGTTTGATTCTCTCCAGGATGATGCGACTTAGTATCTTGCTTGGAATGGACAGAAGCATAATTCCACGCCAGTTTTTACATTGACTTAAGTCTCCTTTCTTTGGAAGTTTGAATAAGTAACTGTTCTTCCAATCCTCGGGTACTTTGCCCTCTTTCCACACCTTCTCCAGCAGTGGTGTCATCAAGTCCGCTGTTGTCTCTGGATTGAAATAGAATACAATTTAAGATTATTTATTATCTTCCTCCGATTTGACTGACTGACTGACTGACTGGTGGTAATAATATCTTCCATGCATATCTCTGGTATTTGCATTGAGTCATTTCTGTTGCATGTCTTGTGTTGGGTGTAGACTCGATGAACCAGGCAGGATTCAGTCAGTAATCAATCTCTCTCGCTCTCCACCTATCTAGATAACTTATTAGAATTTTAACCCTCTCCCACCCACCCTATTGTGTGGTTGTGTGTTAATGGATGCAGTGCAATATAGTTCTGAGCTTTTTTTCTAAATTACTCATCTGTCTTCGCGGAGTCAATCATTCTAACCTTAGCCACTAGATTATTATGTCCCGAAAATCTGACTACCCCCGATCTACTATTAATTTGACCTGTGTAGTTGAACTCGCTCACACTCGTTGCAAGGTATTTTGTAAATTATATCATTTTGTCTAATTGGATTAGCCTACAGGTTCCTTTGGCCTACAGAACTTGTCTAACCTGAGTGAGTTTGTAGGTTTGAATGTCACTCTAATTCTTGCTTTATTAAGAATCCTGCGTAGGGAGGGTCTCAGATGTCTCCTCCCTATTTGGTAAAACTGTACATGCCTTATATTCTTTCTTATTTATGTTATCACTACTAGTTTCACAATTAATTTTAATTTGATTTTGGCCTTTTCTGATCTTCCTAATGAATTTTATAGGATAGTTAGTTATTTAACACCAACGCTTCTTCTTCTGTCTGTTTCATTTCATCATTTAGATCTTTTTTGTGCTACTTAGCACTACTGCACCGTTTGTTAGATACTTAACTAAGCCTGTCTTTACAGACAGTTAACGGATGAGATGAATTAAAGTCTAAATATCTATCAGCACAATGCATTGGGTTTTTATAAACACTAGTGTGTAGTTTACCTTCTTCTATTCGTTTTATTGTACAATCTAACATAGCTAGCTAATTCTCCTTGTTTATTTTCCGATTCAGATGTGAATTTTACTCCCTCTACTAGTGAGTTTATATGTGTCAAGAAGCTGCAGAGAGATATGTTCTGTTTTTGTTGACACTGTGCATGAAAGTGTCATCCACATATCTCCACCATATTTTTGAAGTGGGATTAGGTGAATGTATTAAGAGCAATTGATTGATTTTTATTCAAATGTCTAATCATCAATTTCACTCATATATATATATACATGAAGAAGGAAAGTTGTGTGAGTTGAGTGACTTGATATGATTGTGAGTAGCAGTAATTTGTGCTCGAAAGGTGGTCATCAGTTAATATTACCACTGTATAACACTGTGTGATTTATCAAAATAAGATCTTATCTATAATGGAGAAAGGGAATAATTCTTTTCATCAATAACTGTTACCTTCCTCTCTGTCAAGGTCTACAATCCCTGATTAAGCCATGATTATTACAACAACATGGTTATCTTTGGTGCAGTCAAACAAATGTCGACAAGATACCCTTCTCATGTTAACAATTTCAACTGTGTATACAAATTTTTATGTGTATCTGCGGGAACAGTTACATTGGTAGAAACAGAGAGAAGAAGGGCACACCTCCAATTTTCTGAACATGTGCTAAAAAGCCTATGTCTCAAGGGAACGAACTCTTATAATATCGCTATTACCAGACATCGCTTCGAAAGGGGTCATGATGAGGTAGGTGAAAATAGCGAAATCCTTTAAAAATTATCAATGCACAAAGGAGCTGAATTCTTCTCAAGTTTGCCGAAGCAATTTCTATCAAATGCTTGAACCAAATCAGATTTATGTGTTCAGAAAGAAGCAGTTATTAGTCTTTTCTTGCCCACCTGGTAACTGGATGTCTTCATCCTGTCTCTCTTTCATTTGATTGCGTAATCTTTGCCTTTAACCTCATCCCTTTTATAATCTCTAATTTTGCTTTTCTATGATTTGAGTTGAACTCAGTACATTGTTACTTAATTTATTAGTCAATCAGCATCTTACACATCTCTTGTCTTTATTACGTAACTAACTCCTTTACCATTGTATGCATACATTTATTTTTGTTTAAACTTGAACTACCTGTGTAAGAAAGTATATAAGCGCAATTTTCACTAATTGTGGAATTTTCTGTCAACTGACAACATATAAAATTTGCAAGTATGTTAAAACTTTTCTGTACATAAACTTAATAATAATTTATTTAGGCTGTAAGCAGCAGCTGAGTTGATGAGAAGCCGACAAAATAAACAATGATGGTACCATATCATTGTTCTTGCTTTATTCAAATATTAGAATACAGGAGAATAGTAAATGGCAAATCAATATTTAACAGTTAGCTTGTAGAGATGTGATTTGTAGCAAGTTTGCCCACGGATTGATAACAGTTAGATTACCCTTGAAAACTAAAAGCTCATGAATCCCACAGGAAAATAAAATGGCGTATGCACCTGTACACCCACACGCATACACTATCTTCAAATATACAGACAACTAGTACTGCAAACTTTGAGATAATATCCTTCAGAACAACTGGATACAGACTGAAATTCAAATTCTAAATTCAGAAACTGAAGGACAATAAACCATAAGGGATACCTTCACTGAATCCATCAGATCAGGGTAAAAGTCGGAGACACTAAGTGGCATCAATTAGGAAACCTTCGAGGAAGAATATTGGAACTATCTGAAAGTTGGTGCTGTTCAAGGAAACGTGTACAACTGTTCTCGGAAGAAAGAAAAGACACGACAAGGAATTGCTTTCAACGGACATCTACCTGGAAGCTAATTGAGGAGAGGAGGATAGATTGAAAGAGAATATGGTCCAATGCACAGATGGACAACAGAAGGAGAAGCTGAGTCCAATGTACACTGCACCGAATAAAGAAGTGAAGAAGACTGCGAGGAAAGACAAAAGACTATTCTACGACACACTGACTGGTGACTGAAGCAAAATAGGCTAGCTGCAAGTAAAAGAGACCTCAGGACATTATATCAGATAACCAAGTCTCTATCCGGGAAGGGATCAACGCAGATGAAACCTATAAAAGATGTTCAAGGGAATCTAATTACTAAGAAGGAGAAACAAATAAAACAATGGATGGGCTGATCACTTCAGCACGCACAGAACTGTCAGTGGACACTCGTCCCCAAACAAGAACAGACGTCTTCATTCCGATAAAAAGTTGCTGAAGGCCAGCCAGGAAGACAGGAGGACAAGATGGGATTTCCCCTAGAGCACCACTATTGGAATTCGTTTGGAAGTAAGGAAAGGTGCTTACTAATTGGAAGAAAGACTGGCTGTCTTGTCAAGCTACCAAAGTAGGACGATACAGCCCTCTGTAAGAGCTGATGCGGAATCATGTTCTCATCCACACCAAGAAAAAATACCAAGTCGCGTCATCCTGGAAAGAACAAAATATAGACTCGATGCATAATTCTGTTCGGAAGAAGCTGGATTCAGAGAAAACAAATCACGTGCTGATAAAATTGCAACTCTACGCATCATCATCAAAGAACAAAGTATAGAATGGCAATCAAAATTCTATCTCAACTGGTCCAAGAAGCAGCAAAGACAGGACTTCAGGTGAACATAGACAAGACGAAGGTGATGAAAATAACCAACCAACAACAACAAAAACAACAACAGAAACATCCAGTGCCAATCACCATCCACGGGAGGGATTTGAAAGAGGTTACTTCATTCACTCACTTATTATCTAGGGAGCATTGTCTCAACTACAGGAAGTCGGAACGGACGAGGATGTCAAATCGACCGAGAATCGGGAAGGCGAGTGAGAAACACATTCATTCATCAACCAACTGAAACCAATCTGGAAATCTTCGTCACTCAACTCACCATCAACAACAAAATTCAGTCGGATTTTCAATACAAACAACGTCAAGTCAGTCAGTCAGTTCTTCTATACGGATCAGAAACTTGTCAGGCGGGTGGGTCACAAAAAATATTTCCAACAGCCTGTTGCAGACGTTACCTTTATCAACCATCAACTGTCTTCGCTGGTTCTATACTGAAGATCAGACGGCCGGCCGGCCGGGCCGGAAACAATCACCACCAACAAGAAACTAGCTATGGGAACAAACAAAACAAGAACCAATCGCCAACCAACAAATATGCAGGAGAAAGTGGATTGAGATGGATTGGACACTCGCGACTGAGGAGGCCGCCACTAGGTGACATCCCGCGAGCGTCAGGCCATTTCTCGAGAATGGGAAGCGGCGAGTGGGACGTCAGTACAAGGTTGATATGGAGGAAATCGTGTGAAGAGGAGTATGGACTAACATGGATGTAGGTGAAAAGTACAGCAGAAGACAGAAGTGGCAAGTCGAGACGTGGAGTTGAAGCCCTATGTTCCACTAGGAACCCAAGGGAACAATAATAAATAATAACTATGGGAACGAACTAATCAAAAACCTATCGTTCAATAAATATGTAGAAGAAACTGGGGATGAATCGGGTATACACTAAGGAGACCGTCGAGTGACATCGGGCTCAATGTAATCTATAGTTCGAGTGGAACCCGATTGGAAAGTGACGAGTGGGTCGTCCGAGAGTGACATGAAGGAGATCGTGTGAGATTATGGGCAATAGTGGGCCAAGCTGAAGAAAGCAGTAATAAAACACAGCAAAGTTGAGATGTGTGCTGAAGTCCAATGTTCCACTTGGAACCCAAGGGAACAATAATATAATAATACTGTATTTATGACAAATCAATTACTAGTTTAACTTACGCTCCAGTTAATAATTCAAATGTTAAAATACCCAATGACCAATAGTCTGCAGCAAAATCATGGCCTTGATTAAGAATAACTTCCGGAGCAACATATTCTGGTGTACCACAGAAAGTCCAAGTTTTTTGACCAATTCCAATATATTTTGCAAATCCAAAATCACACTAAATTCATAACAACAAAAAAAGAAATAGTAAATAAGTAAGTAACTTAATAAGGGTTGACAATAGGATAAAAATTTAGAACATGTGTGAGTGTAATGTGTAATATTCAAGTTAGATATTTTCATCATTCCTGTTCATGATGAATCATCTTTCCCTCCGCTGGAAAGTTGAGTCTAATTCAGTTGTTGGCAAAAAGTGGGCGGATGGATGTACAGTTTACTCTCACTCTGTCTCTCTCTCTCTCTCTGCGTTTTTCATTCTTTTTCATCTCGATGGGGACACTACGACTTCAAGCCTTAAGCTTCGAAGTCTCAGTAGGGGTGTTGTTATTGTTGTTGTTGTTGTTAAGGGGTGTGGTTGCTAGCCTCACACTTACCGGGTTTACGACCACCGGCTAGGTGAGCTTTATGACTGCATTGGTTGAGATACGAATTAGGAGTAGAATAGAGAAGATTTGTAGCTCAACTGGATGATATGCAATTAGTAGTGTTCTCTGAGGAGCTGGTTGGTTAGTTGGTTGGTTTAATTGCAGAGCTTTCGTCGCCCACCGGTTCTGGACAACATTCCCCCCCTTCAGTGCAATTTTTTCAATGGGGGATATGTCTGATAGCCATAGATGAGAGCAGAGCAGTACATACACCCTTTGGTCGACAACCTGCAGGATATCGCACCTACTAAGTCAGATATGGCATAAGTATATGATAAGTATATGGTATATGACAAACGGTCCTTCTGTATCCGTACTAACATTTTGTCAGTCATCAACCCGTTGGCTCTGACTGATGCATGGCTGATGATGAAATGGTCAACACGTTCAGCCACCACTTTACTCAATAGCTTTAATCTAGGAGTCAATGTAATCCAGTCTTGTAGCATCATTTTACGTTTTACAGGAGTAAATCGCGTGCCAAACATTAGAAGATTGCTCACTGCTCTCAAGGTGTTCAGAAGACTCAACCGCATTTTGTCAACATCTTCACCCAGGAGAGAGAGAGAGAGGACTATATTATCCGCATATTCGAAGTCAACAAGATTACTATTCCCTGGTGGTGGTGGTGGTACCAAGTCAATCCATGGGTCAATTACTGTTAACTCCAGTAGCACAGAAATAGGGAAAGTCAGCTAGCATCCCTGACACAAACACACCACACTATTTGTCATCACTTCAGATAAGACAACTCTCTATAGGCTCTCTCACCTGGCTGGCTGGCTGACTGACTGTATGAGTTCACGAGTAGATCAATGCCTTAATCACTGAGTGATTTATTTTCTAAGCATTCCCTTCACAGGCAGTAGTCAAAAAATCTAGTTCCAGGACGTATTAATATATGTGTAAAACTTGGACACTGTGGCAGTAAATAATTCCATATTAGTTTGTTTATTAGACGTATCACACAGTCAGTGAAACACTACTATTTACTGGATGACAAGATTTCGAACACAATTCATTATTGTTCATAATCATATCAATTGTATTCACACGACTTTGAAACTTGAATTTTATAGTTTTCTTTGTTTTCTCCTATTCGTCGTCGTTGGGGTAGTAGAATTTTCCAGATATCTGACTCTACAGGCGTTGAATCATTCCTATTACACTTACTCTCTCCAGTTGATTCGATAAATGAAGCTTCTGTTATCAATTTCTTCCTCCACCCTGTAACATTGAATTTTAAAACTGTCATCTTATCCCATCCCATCCTATTGTATGGTTGGTTGTGTGTAATTGCATGTAGTGAGTGCTATAGCTGAACTAACTATTCTCTAGACTTCTTGTCTTATTTGGGTCAACCAATTTAGATTTCACTAGGTTTCAACGCTCGACTAGTCTGACTGCTCCTGTTCTACTAGTTTGACCTATGCATTTGACCTGACAATCATTCCAGCAGAGTATTAGATAAACTAAATTGTTTTGTTTTAAAGGCTCCACAGGATCCATCATTTAACCAACAAAGCTTATCTCTAACTGAGTTTGTGGTCAGTTTGAATGCTACTTTTATTCCTGCCTTGTTAAGAATTCTGCGTAAGGTTTCCTTGTAGGCATACAAACCCACAAACTCAATTAGAAACAAGCTTTGTCGGTTAAATGGTGGATCTAATACCCTCCTTGGATGATTGTCAGGTCAAAAATACATAAGAAAAAGCAGTAGAACGACGTCAGTCAGACTAGCTGAACTTAAAAACCTAGCGCAAGGGATCTAAATTGGTTGACCCAAATAAGATAAAAAATCAAGAGAGTAATTCAACCATAGCACTACGTGCAGTTACACACAACCATACAACATACAATGAATGGGATAGGATGACAGTTTTAAAATCCAATGTCACAGGGTGGGGGGAGAGATTGATAACAGAAGCTTCATTTATCGAATCAACTGGAGAGAGTAAGTGTAATAGGAATGATTCAACACCTGTAGAGTCAGATATCTGGAAAATTCTACTACCCCAACGACGACGAATAGGAGAAAACAAAGAAAACTATAAAACTCAAGTTTCGAAGTTGTTTGATTATAATTGACGATATGATTATGAACAATAATGAATTGTGTTCGAAATCTTGTCATCCAGTAAATAGTAGTGTTTCACTGACTGTGTGATACGTCTAATAAACAAACTAATATGGAACTAGTTCCAGGACTTTCGTCATATTATTTCTAACCATCAAAATAATAATTTCTCTGCTTTCCCACCATTACCATCAATAAATATCCTCATTATTTATGATTAATATATATTTTTAAGTGTTATATGTATATATATTAGTCCAAAATTTATGTTTATATTTATTTTTCATTTCATTTCCTAATGTTGATTGATGAGGATGCTGATGAGGTTGATGAGGATGATGATAATATATGTAACCTGTCAGTAATCATTTAATGATAGGGGATAAAATTAAGTTAAAAAGTTTGTAATTTTATCATTACTTGAACAATTATTAATTACACAGTAACTGACAGATATAGCAATCTCTATTCTTGCCTAATCGATAAGTAGATTAACACTACTATATGAGTTAATTATACATATACATATATATGGCATGTATCTTTTCATCAAGTGTTACTGTGTAAGTTCGGGGGGGGGGTTTGATTAATTTCAACATCGAGGGAAAATGTTCGTTGGAAATTTCGAAAGACTGAGATTACTACTGACCAGAGAATATCCACATTTTCGGTAGCCTGCTCATCATCATCATCAGGTTCTACAGTTATGTATCCATCCGTCCATACTAATAATGAAAGAATTCGGGTTACACTAACAATAGTAATGTGTTGTTTAAATGACATCGGATCAATCAGTAATATCAGTAGAATACACTTCAACAGCATCTGTGTAAGTGTGATAATATGCATCAACATAACACTGCACTACACGGAATATCAGACAGAGAAATTAAGAAAATTTTCAAGCATTGGTTTTGTAGGGATTTTGTTTGATTGCATGAAGGATTTCATCATGAGCTGACATCAGTTAGTGAACCACTGGAGAACCACCGCTCGAGCACTGTACAGCCAGCTGTTTCGTCCTACTTTGGGACTCTTCATCAGTACGCACCCACCAGGGTTAGAACCCAGGATCTTTTGGTTACAAGGCGAGCTCGTAGGCCATTGAGTCACGGAGACCCGATCCAATGGTTCTTGAGCCCACCTTGTAACCAGAAGGTTATGGGTTCGAACCCCGGCAGGTGCGTACTGATGAAGAGTCCCAAAGTAGGACGAAACAGCTGGCTGTACAGTGCTTGAGTGGTGGTTCTCCAGTGGTCCATGATGATGGAGAAGGACTCTTCAATGCTAGCCTGCCTTTTGGCCGGTCGCTTTGGACCAGGTGGTCCTCTATTTAGCCACACCACACTTGTAGATGTTCCCGTGTGAGCACGAAAAGTCAAGTTCCTAGAGAAACGGCCAGTATAAATCGTTCCACCACAAACACAGTTGAATTGGTTGACGCAATTAGAAATGGCTAGCTAGTTTAGGTACTTCATCTTTCATTTGAGAAATCACAACCGGTCTTGCAGAACATCGATATTATAGATTGATTCGATGTTATTTAGGCAACACATCATCATTATCAGTATGGATGGATGGTTGGATGGATATACAACTGTAGAACCTGATGATGAAGAGCAGGTTATCGAAAATGTGAATATTTATTTATTCATTTATTCAGTAGTAATCAGTCTTTTGAAATTTCAAGACTGATCACAGACCAACGTTAGTTAAAAAAAACCACACTGAGAGTACTGGACAGTACGCAGAGTATGCACCCATCACCTCACCGAGAATGATCGGTCCACCCCGGGATCTATACGTTTAAAGAGGCTAGTTGATTGACCATTCAGTCACTGGGACGGAATCCAACATCCTGCTGATGAAGTCTAACTTACATTGATTCACGGTTTTTAGTAGCAGAGAGAGACAAACAACGGGGGGGGTGAGCAGAGAGGAAGAATCCTTGTCTTCTATTATTCCATTCTCATTGTATAATTCAGCAAAATAGTGAAACAGATAAACAGATGATAAACGTTCACTTAACGGATGTCTGTCTATGTGTGTGTCTGTGTGTGTGCGCGTGTGCGTGTGTGATTCTGTTTCACAGTTAAAGATACGTGAAATGAAGGAAAAAAACACAAAAAACAAAACAAAACAATGCGCATACTCAGTTGATAATATATACATACACACAGGTATGTTATTACACGGGCTACTCAGTCAAAATATGCATTAGAATAAATGTATCCAAATGTATTCTAATTTTCTGATAATATATACTATATACACGCTTGAATAGCTTGAATAACAACATTATATTACACACTATCATTATCAGTGTAGATAAAGACACACAAAAAAACACATCTGTTTAAATAGAGGGAGGTTTTGGGGAGAGGCGAGACAGAGAGGACTGCCTGTTTAAAAAAAAATGACCAGGTATACACGTGTTTCATTGCATACAGTTTATCATACAGCGGATCATTTGATCTGAGATGAAAAATAAAACAT